AAGGTTAGAAGCGTTCGAAATGTGGTGTTATAGGCGGATGATGAGGATATCGTGGGTAGAAAAGGTTAGAAATGAAGAGGTATTGGAAAGAATAGGAGAACAGAGGACTCTGTGGAAGTCAATAAAAAATAGGCGAGATAGGTTGGTAGGACACCTTCTTAGGCATGAAGGTCTAGTCAGAGACATATTAGAGAAAGAAACAGGAGTTAAGAGGTGTAGATGTAGACCTAGATTAGATTACTGTTCGCAAATAGTTAAGGATGTGTGATGTTCTAGTTTTAGAGAAATGAGAAGATTAGCTCAGGATAGGAAGGAATAGAGGTGAATGTCCAAGCAGTCTTAGGACTGACGACCTTATGATGATGATGATGATGATGATGAAGTTTCAAATAAAAATTGTAGAGAAATTAAAAACCTTTAATTTGGTCCGCGGTCCGATTAATTTTGTCAATTAGTTATTGCAGAAATCCCAAAAAATCTTAAAAAACTGCCTTTTCCTGTATATTGATTGTTTATTACAAAAATGACTTTTTTAACTTTTGACTCATATATCTCTCAATAAAACCTCGTTTTGTTGAAGATGATGCTAGTAATTTATAAGAGTGCGGTTATAAACTACTTCTCTCAACCTTTTTCTAATAGGGCTGCAAAGGTAGATGAATTCCAACAATATCTTTTAATGGGAACCACAAAACATCGAAGATCTGCATTTGAGTATTGTACAAGTACCTTACTGTTTTTTCCTTGTTTTACCGATAAGCAATGTTTTAATGTGGATGTTCTCATTTTAAAGTCAGTTTCCTTTTGTTCCAGTTCTCCCGGTGAAAATCCCATCAATCGGAATAGAAGCAGACATCATACTACCAGCACAGCAGCTGGGTGCCACGGTGGCACCATGGCCACCAGCCATTACCTCGGTAGACGATATGGCACATAAAGGTAAAGGTAATAACAACGGCAGTAACTATTTTATCTTACTAATGGTTGCTCGTGTANATTAAAAACCTTTAATTTGGTCCGCGGTCCGATTAATTTTGTCAATTAGTTATTGCAGAAATCCCAAAAAATCTTAAAAAACTGCCTTTTCCTGTATATTGATTGTTTATTACAAAAATGACTTTTTTAACTTTTGACTCATATATCTCTCAATAAAACCTCGTTTTGTTGAAGATGATGCTAGTAATTTATAAGAGTGCGGTTATAAACTACTTCTCTCAACCTTTTTCTAATAGGGCTGCAAAGGTAGATGAATTCCAACAATATCTGGAAAAGAGCGAATATAAAGATAGGAGACGAAAAATTAGAAGAAGTGGCTGATTTTAGATACCGTATAATATCTTGTGGAGATTACTTTGAAGGGAACAAAATAGATATTCACGAAAAATAAATAATTTTTGAAAAAACACGTGTCCAATAAATGCATTTGAACGCCTTGGTGAGGTGTTACGAATTGTCCAAAAGAATTTACGAGTTAGGCTACTTTGGGACAATTTCTAGAGAAGCCATCAGATGATGATTTCATATAGACGTGGTTAAGGAAACGTATACCAAATTATGCCTTTCCGTCCATGTCACACCAAAAGAAACCGTGTGATTTCTATGGTCGCTAAATATCTTTTGTGCATTTCTGTAGAGAACTAAAAAAAAAAACCCTGATGTCCACGCTACCAGCTCACTATAAGAATTAGAAGTGATTTCTATATCGTCGAAAGAATCGTGTTGTTGCCATTAATTTTCTCCCCGCAATAAACACCTACAGATGACGGGGGTTGTTTGTTTGTTGTTCTTGCTCTACTTGCCATGAGTTACGTTCACAAATTGGCATTTCCACGACCGGAGGCTGATAACGAGGGTGTCTTTTAATGGGTAAATTAAATCGTGAACGTTAGTATACGTACACTTGGAAGATACGAGGGTGGATTGATAAGTTTCCGGCCTGACCAAGAAAAACAAGGTTTTTAAAAATTTTTTTTTTTTATTTCTCAACATAATCTCCTCCAAGGCTGATACATTTCTCATAGCGGTGTTCCAGTCTATTAATGCCATCTCTATANTGTTAAACCCAGAAATTTTATCGGCAACTGCTTCTTCGTCAAGTAAATAATGGAACAATTTTGTTTTGCTTCCAAAATTCTTGGGTTATTGGTGACAGGAATGTTTGGAGCACGGCGCTGTACGGGTGCGAACATGAACAGTGGGTGAGGCGGAAAAGAAAAGGTTAGAAGCGTTCGAAATGTGGTGTTATAGGCGAATGATGAGGATACGGTGGATAGAGAAGGTTAGAAATGAAGAGGTATTAGAAAGAATAGAAGAACAGAAGACTCTATGGAAGTCAATAGATAGGTTAGTAGAACACCTTCTCAGGCATGAAGGTCTAGTCAGAGACATATTAGAGGCAGAAAACGGAAATTAGGAGGCGTAGAAGCAGACCTAGATAAAATTACTGTTCGCAAATAGATAAGGATATGGGTTTTTATAGTTTTAGGGAAATACGAAAGTTAACTCAGGATAGAAAAGAGTGGAGGTTCGTGTCCAACCAGACTGGCGACCTTATGATGATCAGTTCAATAAGCATGAGATGCAGCCTTGCAATACAATGCTTGTTAAGAAGAAATCTAAAAGAAATATATTCGCGTTCATCATTTTTAACATGTTTTAAAATTACGTTTCGGTCAGCAAATTAGGCTTTCTGCGTATTGAAGCATGTTGTTCTTGATAGTTTAAGCGAAATGAAAATTCGACTACAAATAACAATTTAACTGTTTTAAAAAGAGAGTATGGCTTTTGTGAATTCGACAAAATTACCTTCGCGTGAATTTTTGGCATACGAAGGGCAAATTAAGGTTTTATATGCCCTGAAAATTGTTCTTTCCGTAGGTTTATATGAAATTTAAATTGGATTCAAAGAAGCGAAATACAACCCAACGGAGCGGTGTGTATTTTTTCAAAATAGAGGAGAATATTAAATATTCGAGTGGATTTTCGACATAAATTGAAAAGGGTTTTCTATAGGTGTATTAGGGTTAGCTTTTTACGATGTGGTAGACGGCATTCCATCTAGACACGTCGTTTTTCTGGATTGTACTAAATATGTCATACCTTCAGTACATTTCTTTTTAAAATACAATAAGTATTATCCTTTTGGATGTAGACAAACAACAAAAAAACAACTCGTGTATTAAATCTGCTGTTAATACACACTACTTTTCAAGGCGATAAAACCGGAAATGGCGAAAGACAATATGACGACATTATTGCGTCTCCGACATATAACATAACGGGACATATTTCAAAGCCAACTTGCTCGAAAAATATATAACGTGTCCTTTATTGGTAAAGCGACGGCGTGGTAGTAACCGTAGGGGCGGTGGCGTCGATGTTATTAGCGTCCGCGCCGTCAAAACGCCTAAAAACGATACACAGTGGAACCGTTTACAAAAAAAAACTGCCAGGTAAAAAAGTGTAATGTAGAATTCATTAGTTTTATTTGTTAATTTTTAAAAAGAAGCTCAATAAGATTTCTTTGAAGAAAGAAAGAACGTGGATCATTGATAGACATTATTAGACAGAGATTTGTGCTCTATTTAGGTCTAAGTGAAATTGAAATTGGATCTTTTAATATGCACCAAAACTTACTTTTTTATTATTCGTAGTAGATGTAGAACAAAACACCTACTGTACTTGTAAGAAGGTAGGATTTTAGTACCTGAATCCATGGTAGAATTATGATTCGCCCTGATATGCCATGGTCTAAATCAGTGGTTCTTAACCACCCCTGTGGTCCGTGAAGCCATCCAAATTACTTTCAAACAGTTGATAGTTCATGGTAAGACAGAAATTTTATCAAAAAAGTAAACAAAATCACCTAATATGCACCAAAATTTACTTTTTCATAATCGAAAGAAGTATATAAAGTTTCGCATTGGTTTTAGACATACTTGAAACCAATTTTGGCTTCGCGGAATATGAATGCCTTCCCGGATGCTTCTATTTAGGCCAAAATCTGATTCGTTTTGAATTTAAGATTTCGTCAGTTTATAACTAAAGAATGCTTGATTTTTCTCAAATGTAATTTTTTTATATACGTACCCGAGATAAAAACGATCAGTCTCTCAGAGTCTCTGAAAGCGAGACTCGAGTCTCCGTTTCTCATCGAGTCTGTCTGTTGTCGCTGAGAGAGACAGTCCAGAGACTGTCAAAAAAAGTGTTTAGCGTCTCTGTACGAGAGACCCGAGTCGCTAATCGAGAGATCCTCATTTCGCTTCCAGTCTCTGAACGAGAGGCTCGAATCTCTGAACGAGAGACTCGAATCTCTCAATAAGTGGTGTCTCGATAGACGTAATTAAAATTTTCAAAAAGTTCAACATATTTCAGAGATCCCAGTCTTTCTACGACAGACTCGAGTCTCTTAATTTTTCAGTTTTATTCATTCAGTCTCTGTGAGAGATCCATAAAAACACCTAGACAATAACTGAGAGACTGTGAAAGACTGTGAGAGACGCTCTCAGAGACGCTGAAAGACTCTGAGAGACTGGAGAGAGACTGAAAATTTTTGTCTAGGATATATGATAAAATCGACTTTTACATGGTGATAATTAGCATTCGTAGTAGATGTAGAAGAAAATACCTACTGTACTTATAAGAACGTAGACTTTCACTATCTGAATCCACGATAGAATTATGATTCGGGCTGGTAGGTCATGGTCTAAATCAGTGGTTCTTAACCACCCCTATGATCCTTGAAGCTACTGGTCTAAATGAACTGTTAAGTCCAGAAGTTTCATCTGCAACTGCTTCTTCATCAAGTTAATAATGGAACAGTTTTGTTTTACTTCTAAAATTTTTGGGCTTTTGGTGACAGGAATGTAGAATATTTCAGTTGGGAGAAACATCTTGTTACGACTGTATTTTAGTCCATTTAGACATTTAAGTGGATATAATAACATTCTTATGTTAGCAAATTGTTGGAGAACACTGTTCTTGGTCAATTTTTGTTGTAATTCGGTTCCACTGTGTCACATCGGCATTTATAACGGGCGCCGTAATATAACGCCCAAAGGCCGACGGCGTTAAGTTCCATTCGGAACGTCATAAGTCACTCGACGAAGGCCCAAGGTCCATTATAGCCTTTGTGCCAAGGCGCCGCGTTGTAAGTTATTCGATCTGAAGAGAGCGATTCGACGGAAGGGATCGTCGAGGCATGAGGGGGTTGGGTGTGTTGGTGTCCGTCGCGAGGGTGGCGAGACGCGGTCGTCTTTTGGTCGCTGTTGTCGACGCTCTCTCGTTGCGTGGACCTTTTTATTCCTTTTTCTTCACTTTCTATCCCTTTTTGCCTGTCGAATATTGTCTGACACTTTCGCTACTGTGTATCTGTCAAGGATAAAAAATGCGACAGTTCGATGGCACTGACGACAACGGTCAGGATGTTGCTTCTAAAAGGATTATGCTGGATTCAGTAATATATACAAAAAAAAAGGGAAGATAACGGTAATGATGGTAAGAGGGGAAGAACGATTTTTTACCTATATACCCTGATTTGTTTGCAGAACAAAAAGTAGGTCCCTGAATATTAAAATGTGGATCAAATTTTCCGATCCTTGCAATCTTTAAAGTTTGTTAGCAGTTTTCATTTTTTCTTTTAGAACTTTCCACTGTTCAAAGGCTATCTAGTGCTAATTAAAGTGGTCCTTCAGTGGATGTTTCCACAAAAAATGAGCTATATTAATTTGATATAATTTTTTGATTTTTTATTTACACACCACGAATTACCTCAAATTAATGAGGGAAAAATTGTTACTGTTGTCACACCCTCGATTGGAATCGAACCCGGGACCTTTGGCTTTACGCNTGGAAATAAGGAAATTATTTTGCTTCTTGAAAAGGCTTTTGACACCTTTTTTGGTTGTTTTAAATACCACAAGAAATCCATTTTAAAAAGTTATTTA